AGAGAGAGAGAGAGAGAGTAAAGTAAAGCGGGGAAGGATAAGAGTCAAGCGGCTCTCAAAAGCTCCATGTGTTGGTTCGAGAATCCGGCCAAGAAAGTGGCTTCAATATCTGACTGACAAGACAAGTAAGTGATAGGGATTAATAATTGTACGTTAATTCTAAAAAGTAACCAATTAATTGAAAGCGGGGTGAGTGTTGATTTGACACTCAAGTCTATCATGTTTGTTGTACGGCGATCAATTTGGAGTATTGGGTTTGGGACCACGGAGTTGGGAGAGATAAGGTTGGAATCCGACTCTCGTACAAGATACGGTGGTTTGAACAGTAAAAACCCTCATGGAGATTTTTAGACTCTACTCCACTTCACAGTTCTGATATGACAGTAAAAACCCCATAGAATGGAATTAAGATTTCTGGGGTGGATTGAACACTAAAAAACCCATATTTAATAAATTCTGCCATAGGCGTAACTTCACTACTTCTTCCCTTACAAACGGTTGTAATTATGTTATTAGTGGTGCCTAAATGTCATAAACAGTTGTAACTATTACTTTTTTTTTTTATATTTTATAAAACAAATAAAATATAAATATTGAATAAAAAAATGTAAATAAAATCAAACACATAAAGAATGACAGTCTTTGTTTGTGCTTTTTAGTTAAGACACCTATGGTTTCTTCATGTTTGAATTTGGATTTTCTCATCAGAGCATGCCTCAAAGTGCATCGCAATTATACATTGGGAATATCTTCTTATTAACGATGACATCAAATATATAATCTGTTTTCAATGCACAACTACAATGTGTTGTGAGACTGTGTACGAAGCAAATCTGATCTCTATATTTCTTAAAACATTATCCATCCCTTATGAGTCCCAATCTGCTGACTTCCACACATTGTTGACCATGTGCATCCAGTTATACATCAAGAATATCGGTGTTTTAAAATACAACAGATGTTCCTAGGAATGTATCATGGTAAGCAGATCTGAACTCATCTCTTATGCATTTCAACCCATCTTTGAATAAAATACATTTCAACACCCTCCCAATATGATCTGATACCACACATTTCATATATAGGGAGTCCCAACTCTCAATTTTATGGTGGGTCCCATTCTCAACTAATTGTGAGTGAAGGCATGGTTTTGAAAATCTGATTTTGGACTTGAAAACCGTTTGATCAGAATTCAGACGAACAGACTGTTCAACCCAAGAAAACGGTGGTCGAAACGGTCGTCTTGGAGTCGATATTTATTCGTGATAGGTTGCCCAAACCCGACGCGCAATAATTGCGCATGATTTTGTCTCTAGGCCATCCATTCTCCGTCAATGACCCGCGAATCGTCAACACCAATCACTGAGAGTCGAATCGACTCACTTGTGTCGCTGAGGTATCGGGTCGGGGTCGGGGTCGGGTGTTTCTCCGATTCTATACACTACTGTAAGAAAAAAGGCTGATATCAAAGAGAAAGCGTGTACTACTAACTAAGAATTTCTTTCGCTCTCTCTCGCAATGGATGCACTCGTGGCTGATTTCCAGGAGAAGATCCTCTGTGGTCTGGAACTAATGATGACTCTAAAATCCCAACGCGACGAGTTGCGGAGTGATTTGCAGAGAGAGCGACAACTGCGGTATGAGTTTCAGAAAGAGCGCGATAAGTTACAGACAGAGCGTGATGATTTACGCAACGAGCGAGACAGGATGCAGAGGAAGCAGGAGGAGCTTCGGAACAAGCTAAACGAGCTGCAGATTGAGCGTGACAGGGCTGCCACAGGGGCCGAGCAGATGAGGAGAAAAAGGAGTGATGGGGAAGAGGGCACGAGTTCTGAAGAGAGGTGGCAGTTCTCCGAGATAACTTCCACCGAAATTGAGAGAGCAACTGCCAACTTTGATCCATCGAAGAAGATCAGTGAAGGGGTAAATGGGAGGAGCGTCTACAGAGGTCAACTTCGGAACACCCAGGTGGCTATTAAGATATCCGGCTTCGATAATTTGCAGAACCGCACAGAATTCCACAGGGAGGTAACAAAGAAAAAGCCCCATTTCTGTTTTTTCCTTTTATACATTGCTATTTGCTAGCTCTTCCATCGTCGATCATCTCCATAATCCAGTCTGATCTGAATATTTAAAAAGTAAAAACTGAGTATCAAGGGGGTGATATATATGATCACTTGATTGAATCATCACTTTTCAGCTGTAAGCGAGCTGATGATCAACTCATCAATGTATGTATAATAACAATGAATGGTTCATGTCCATTGGCCTGATTCAGGTGGAAGTCTTGAGCAGGGTGAGGCATCCAAACATTGTCTCACTCATTGGAGTCTGCCCAGAAAATTACTTGCTTGTATACGAGTATCTCCCCAGTGGCACCCTCGAAGACCGGCTCAACTGTAAGGATGATACTAGTCCTCTTTCATGGCAAATCAGAACGCGCATTGCGGCCGAGATATGTTCAGCCATCATCTTCCTCCATTCCAACCATCCTTACAGGATTGTCCATGGCAATCTCAGGCCTGAAAATGTACTTCTGGATGAGAACCTTGTCAGCAAACTCTGTGGTTTCGGCAATTCTGGCTTAATTCCCCGGGAGGGAGTGTCACCCAGAACCTCCACACCATGCCGGAGAATTGACCCCATTGCCCGTGCTTATGTCGACCCAGAATTCGTAGAAACTCAAGAGTTAACACCAGCATCAGACGTGTACTCATTTGGTGTCATACTGCTACTGCTTCTGACGGGGGGACCAGCCATGGGTATAGTGCAGACGGTGAAGTCTGCATTAAATAACGGGACCCTCGATAAGATGTTGGATGAATCTGCGGGGAGTTGGCCTCTTGAGCAGGCAAAGCAATTGATTTACTGGGCACTCAAGTGCTGTGAAGAGATACGACAGAGGCGACCAGACCTTGAATTGATCACAATTACGCTGGAGCGTCTGAAACAAGGTTCATGTGGAGCATCGTCGTCATCAAGCCGTCCAATATCAGAATCAGAGCCGCGTGAGACTCCATCGCATTTCCTTTGCCCTATTTTTCAGGTTAGTTTCTGAAATACAGTAGAATGGATGCTGGTTCTTGAAGAAATCCTGTGACAGACTTGAAAATGGATCATGCTCTAGCATTAAAATTTTGATATTACTTGCAGGAAACCATGCGGGACCCGCGTATGGCAGCAGACGGCTACACTTACGAATATGCAGCAATCAGAGAATGGCTGGACAGAGGGCATGACACGTCACCCATGACAAATCTTCCGCTCATCAACCAAGAACTAACTCCTAACCTCACTCTACGTTCTGCAATTCAAGAGTGGCTT